ACTTAAATTGAGGGTGTGGTACCCATTTCTTGCAGTTTTACAGTCTCACTGTTTAAATAAAAAAACAGAAGCCATACAGTTTATGATGATGACTGCATGGCTGCTGGATAATGTATCGATGGAACCATTTTTGTGCAGTCACCATTTTTACTTTATAGTTGGACATTCTATTTTATAAGAGGATCCTTCTGAAGTACAGAAGCATTTTATTGGCTTATGGTTTTGTGTTGTGGGATTTATTTCCCTTGTCATCATTTAATAATAGGGACTGATAAATAATGAGTAGCATCATGCAGTCTCTTTAATACGAGAGCTGGGGTTTTTAGTCTAAAAATATTTTGCTGGAAAACTTGCAGGTTTTCAAGACAGAAATTTACCCGTTGTCTTAGGCACTGTTGTGACAGAGCCGTGCCTCAGAGTCCCAAGACTGGCAAACTCAGCCACCCTTTTTACTTCACTGCAAGGTTTATGTCTCTCCAAGTTACATTATTCCAGTGTCTGAACTTTTTACTCTTCCTTGTATGCATGATGTCCGTTCCTTCTCTGTGGGCATTGATGCTCTGTCCCTGTCCACAGTTTTCATGACTTCTAGTTTGAACTTAACTTAGAACAGCATTGTTCCTATGTATATACTTAAAATGCAAGTCAATTATGTCAGTTGCATCATTTAGAAGAAAATAGTTTTTTTGTATTTAAATAGCTGTTAAAGTTTGAATCCCTTTTTGCATGTGATCTAACCCCGCCCTGTAGGCCCCCACCTCAGCCTATGCAGGATTAGAGGCTATAAACTGTCCTTTATCTTTTTTAAGATTAGTATTATTAAAGTTAGTGTTTTCTGTAGCTATCTTTCTAAACAGACACGGTGACTGCAAGCATGGTCCCTTGTTGTAACATATGCCAAGAGTCTTCCATTAATGTACTTTTCCCATTTTCCTGCTAGGATGCTTTTTGCTGCTGCAGCACTAACCCTTTTTTGGTAGGTTTAAAGCTTCAAGATGTGCATTACACCTGACTCCTCCTGCATCCACAGATCCTGAACTTGAGCAAAATGGTAACCCAAGGTGGTCACTGATCAGTCTGTAGAAGAAGCATGGGAGCGCAGACCTTGTGTGCTCCCAGATCTTCTACTGTGCCAGTTCAACATCCTAATCCAGGAGACAGCTGGACTCTCTTCTTTATGCAGCATTTGTTTTCTTCTAAGGTAGTCAGTTTTATCAGCACACATGGTTCAAGGAGCATCAGAGCATTCACAGTGTAGATCAAGTGGTGAGGGGATAAAAGGTAGGACATGAAAGGTATAAGTCTTATTTTCTGCAGGTCCACCCTTGTCAGGGCAGGCAAAATGAAAGAGTGAAACCATCCTGAATTAAACCATGAAACATCTGCACTGAAGGCAAATCCTTATTGTATAGATTTCTTATTACCAAAGGGCTTGGGTTTATGGACAGAAGTATGTAAAAATAATTCACAGATAACACAGGAGTATATATGCTAATCAGAGTGAAAAGAAAAGCATTTCTATTTACAGACTACTTTATTAAGCATTCATTAGACAACTTTAAACAGATTAACATAAGGTGTCCTAAGCAGTTTTAAGTCTTTCTTGATGAAACTGATAATTTAATTATATAAATATTTAAACTTGGACTTTCCTACAAATAATGTACCAATAGGGAAGCATTCACAGAGCAACTTACCAGCCCCAGTGTACAGGTATTTTTTTGTGCTATGTGTGCTCAGTTCTCAGTAAGGTCAGTGCTGGTCGTAAGAAGGTCTTAATTTTCATTAGTACAAACTGGCTTTTTTTCGTCATTTTTCCTGGTTTCACATACTAATACAGAAAGAGCACTGCCTTGGATGGAAAGAGGTGTAGAAAACCTTGAGCTTGTGATTTCAGATTATCATGTGTTTTTAACGGTACCATTTTCTGGAGATACTTCATTATAGTTGCCTTTATCCAAGCATTTAGAATGATTTATGCTTTATTGTGTAGCTGGGGGGGGGGGGGGGGGTGTTATTGTGATAAAAGCTGTGAGAGCTTGTGCTGGTTTGGAAGTCTCTAACTTGCACATGATGACTTGGAATAGAAACTGGAAATTTTAAACATGTCTGGAAAGGATTAATGGAGCATTTAAGCTGTTAATACAGTTCACCAGGAAAAAGCAAAAGCAGCTCCACTGGTGTCCTACCTGCAGCCTGTGCTGTCATTTCATTAATATCCAGAGGTCAGCAATATCTGTAGGAACACAGCTTGGTTTTACACAATTGTTCTCTACACTGCAAAGGCAAACAGCTCTACTTTGCCTGTGCAGCTCTGAGTTTTTCCTAATGACAGGAAAATTTAGACAGCGAGACACAGAAATATTTGTGTACTTGAAATTTCTGTGTGATTTTTAACCAAATTCATTTAGTTTGTGTAAAATTCAGTAATTAGATCTGTACGTAAGTGGAGAATAGTTGTCCAAGGAAGAGCTTGACTCTGATGGAAAACAGCGATCTTTCTTATTTAATGCTTTGGATTTTCACTATTCTGTTATAAGTAATACAAGCTAAGCATAAAACATAAACATCCTAAATGCTTTGTTTTGTCTTTTTCATTTAATGAAAACAAACTCTTTGGGTTTATAATCATAGAATAGTTATATTATAGAAACTGATTATTTAACTGAAATAAACTTTAATTCTCTGTAGCTGTATGAAAGGAAGGACATCTTTTTTGAATGGCACCAAATTAGGGTTTTGTAATAAATTCTTAAACTTATTTAGTAATAGCTGAGGTACGATGTTTTCATCATTCAGCTGTTAATCATGCTGTGTACCGAAACCCGTACATGCTCTTCATAATTAGTTACTTAATCCTTTTGGGGTTCTTAAAGTTCGGTGTACTTAGGAGTACATTGCTTTCTTCATGACCACATGTGGGACTTTGCCTTGAATATTCACCAGTGCTTCCCAAATCCTCTTTAAATATTGGTTATCTTCATGTGTAACGCAGTTACTCTGCACTTTTGCAACCTTATCTTTACAGCTTTACAATTGTGTCGGGTGTTCAGTGCCACCGTGCTTTTGCACACACCATTTTAATGAACTTCATGGGCTGGTGTAGCACTGGGAAGAAGTTGAGCAATCTGGATGTCACCAGTGGTTCTTCCTGGCAGATGATGTGTAGGGAAACAAATATTTCTTATAATGTTTGTATGGTATGCCACAAAGTAGTATCTGGCCACTAGGTTTTCATAGTCATTAAATCGCATTAATAACAACCACTGGAGTCCTAAATAAGTCATGGTTGTGCAATTACATAAGTACAAAAATGCTGAGTCTGGGCAAATGCAAGGAAACAGTCTTTTCCCTGAATAATTCCCACTCCAAGAGCAATTCTGACTGATAAGTGGTTCAAGGCAGAATATTTACAAAACAGTCCTCAACTGCTTGAAAACTTGATTTCATGGTTCTTGTGAGAGAGATTACAAAGTTGCATCATGTCCTTGAATGACTGCAAGCTGATTTAGCTGGCTTTCAAGAACAGACTCTTTGGGGGGGGTAGAGTGTTTGTTGGGTTTGGGTTTTTTTTTCTAGAAATTCTGCTCTATAATATCTTTTAAGTATTTACTAGTTTCCTCCTCCTTCCTGTTGCTTAAAGCTGCTGCTTATGGTAAATGGGGAGACTTAAGCCTTTATTTCTGTAGCAGTTTACTTTTCCAGACTTCCAAGTTTTTCCACTTGAGGCAGAGGAGAAGAATTGTAATTACCTTTGAGAGATGGACAACAGCTTCTTCAGATTTCATGAATGGTCTCCCCTTTTATCCCCACAGGGCTCACATTTCTTTATGATGGAGACACTTTACATGATAAGTCACTTCCTTTTTGTGGGTTCGGGTTTGGGTTTTTTTCTGTTCTGCATCACTTAAGTTTCAGCAAATTGATCAAAATGTCTCAGTCAATTCCATGGTGTTCTTAAGATGAAAATACTTAGTGGCAGCTTACAACATATATATTAGTTTTCCTCATAATGATACTTTTCCTATTAAAACAGCTAAAATTCTATATGATATCATCTGACTTTTTATAGCTCCGATTTACTTCAGCCATTTGAGTTACAAGCATTATTTGGAGGATGGCTTTTTGTGGTTTTGTTTGTTTAGAATTGAGTACAGAATATGTTGCGGAAATTTCTCTTAAGAAAGTTAAAGTTCATATATCTCGTCCTATGCAGTGACTGTCCTTTCATTAGATGTTGAAGTAAGCTTAGTCATCCTGAAGTAATTTTTAATTTTCTGGGCTTTAGGCCCCATAAATTCACAACTATGTTAGTTCAGTGCCCTCCAGTGTAGTTCTTTAACCATCTTTGAAGTCATCATTAGAAGATCGGGTCATGTGTTCATAATGTTGCAGGTTGTTGCATTATATAATCTATGTTTTGCTAAAGCATGGATTTAGAGAAACAACATTTATTAAAAGGAATTGTTTGGGTTTTGTCCCTAATTTTTGTTTTGTTTTTCTATGCCAGAGAAGTTAAATGGATTTTATTAAATACTTTTCCTGTCATTGCTCTTTGCAGCAGGTCTTTAGGCATCTCCTGAAATATTCAGTTTCTTCTACCCTGCAAGCCAGTATTTCCAGCAAACGGTAATTCATCACTGAAATAAAGCACACTTTGATTGATGCTGCTATTTACTACAGCTATTTATTTATAACTTTTTCTACTTTTTTTGCATCTGCCTCATCCCCAGGTATTTGTACATGTATCTGTGTACCTCTGCCTCTTAATTAGGTACTCGTACTCTTAGAAAGGTGTAGTGCATAAATGTCTTGGGGCAGGAGGGAAGGGACATCATCTGCTTTCAGGATGTGCACTTGCCTGTTTAAACTTCAGTTCTGCAAGCTGTTTGATGTTTGGTTTTTTACTCTAAGCATAACCACTATTCATCTTGCAGGCTATAGATGCATAATGATATAAATGGAATTCTGAATTGCAAATTTTCATGTTTTCTTCACAGAGTTCTTGAATATGTCAGGAAATATACCATTAAATATTAATATCAAGGAGCCCCGATGGGATCAAAGCACTTTTGCTGGACGAGCCAATCACTTCTTTACTGTAACAGACCCCCGGAATATTTTGTTATCTAATGCTCAGCTGGAAAATGCAAGAAAAATTGTGCATGATTACAGGTATGGCATTGATCACTTTTACTGCAGGCCAAAAAAAGTCCATGTCAATAATAAGCACATGGTTATGTATTTAAAAGGAAATATTTTAAACACTGTATTCACTGTACCACTCTCATTTTATTTCAGAGCTTGAGACACCTTTTTTTCATTTTAAAATAAACTTGCTAATGAATGGAGAAGTTGTGTCATCTGAGAACCCCTATGAAGAATTCTGAAATACGGAATGCTTAATAGTATTCTTAAATTCTGAAATTAGTTCATATGACAGCAAAGTTTAAAACCCCATATGCATTATATTGTTTGAAAATTTACTTTGCAAGTATTTACGATTCTACTTGCTCCAGAATTCCACACTGGTGATGCCAGAGGTCTGAGCTCTGAAATCCAGTACAGGTTCGAGTAAATCGAAATTTGGTGCTGCATGTATCGACTCAGCCAACATAACCATTACTGGGAGTTTTGATTGTTCTCCTTTCACCAGTCCATTTAAAAGCTGAAGAACTACAAGCTAACTATGAGGCTAGATTAACTTAGTGTGGACATCCCAAAATCCTCTGATGCCGCATTTGTCACTGGAATTTGCAGCGTTTTATAACAGTTGTGCTTTCTGCTGTTGTCTTACTTTGTTTTTCTAACTCGTCCCAAGACAAGGTATTGTGTCACCTGGCTTGACAGAAGATGACTTGTGGAGAGCAAAATATATCTATGATTCAGCCTTTCACCCAGACACTGGTGAAAAGATGATCTTGATTGGCCGAATGTCAGCTCAGGTACCCATGAACATGACTATCACAGGTTGTATGATGACCTTTTATAGGTAAGTGATGGCAGTATCTTACAGAAAAGATTTGCTTACAAATTAGAGAAGTTGAAATCAGTGTTATTGTTGAAATAGCATTTTAGAAGATTTATAATGTTTACAAAGGTAAAATTTTGCTTCCTTTTCTTTTCTCTCTCTGAATTCCCTTACACTTAATGGTTTATTTTATGGTTTCCTCTAGAAGTAGTTGTGAGTTAATCCCTTAGCTCCTCTGCTTCACCATCCCACTTTTTCTCAAACTGGGAAAGTTGAATGATCCAGAATTCATCTGTGTAGGAGAGTTGTGTAGAGGACAAAGAGGAGGAGATACTTAGGAATTTCTAACCTTGGAGACCTAGCACATCTACTGTAGCATTTCCACTCTGTTTTCTTGCTTGTTACAGAATAATTGGCACAGCTACTGCTTCTTCTTTAGCACTCTAAATTTCCCGATCCGCCCTCGAATGAGAACCACATTCCTGAAACTGTGTTATTAAGTAATTTAATGAAGTGTAAGCTTGAAAGCCCTGTTAAAAGTTATTTTAATGATCAGAAAGAGTTTTCAATAGCACCTGTTACTTCTGGTGGCCTGGTTCTCCTTGCTGAAATTCTGGTGAAGAATCTTCAGTGGTGTCTCCACTGGGGGCAGAGTTTGTGGTCTGAGGAGAGAAAGAAACACTTTTCCCAGGTATACTCTCCTAGCATCCAGCTACCTGTGGATCAGGAGCATTTTGGAGTTGTCTTTTAATCTTTAATTCAGTTCTACATGCACGTGAATGTTTTAATGTCACAAGGATTTATTAAAATAATGGCATCATATTTACTTTTTGAAGACTGAGAGGATAAAACCTGTGTCCTAAAATCCACCTCTAGGTCATTATGGAGCTTCCAAAGAGAACTAGCAGACTGTAAAGGAGTAACAACTCTCAAAAAATATTCTAGAAATTATAGCATTTCATATTTCTCTGTGGTTTTTATAGAGAAGTTTTCTATAATGCTTTTGTTATTACAACAAACCTTTGTCCCAAGTGCACCTTGGTATTTAATTACGAAGCTTTTAAATTCTATTCTTAGAAGTAGAAGTACTTTTATTATTGAGACAGTACCTCAAGAACTGTATTGTTTCATTTAGATAAGTAAGGACCTCTGCATGATTACTGCTTGCACTGGCTTTTCTTGATTTGCCATAATTTTCCTGTGCTGTTGATTCAACTTAATTTTTGTTATGACATTATTATTATTTTTGGGTTTGTTGTTATTAATATTTCTCTTTTCAAGAACGACACCAGCGGTGCTTTTCTGGCAGTGGATTAACCAGTCCTTCAATGCTGTAGTAAATTACACAAACAGGAGCGGTGATGCCCCGATTACTGTCAGGTCAGACACAAAACCACATACATATGAGTTATAAATAGTTCTCTGATGTCCTGGAACATGGTTGGGCTTTAAAGTTTGAGGTGATAGAGGGATAAGTTTTTTCATCTATGTTTATTACTAATTTGATATGCATAGATGAGAAGCCTAAGAACAATAAAGGTGAGAACTCCATTTCTGCCATTAAAGATAAGCCTGTGCACTTCAATCATACGCACTTAACAGTGTAGGATTTAATAGGAGTCTGTGCTGCATTGCTCAGTCATTTGAAAGTTGGTTTGGTCTTACATCAGGATATTTCTAAGTTGGTATTTTGTGCAGACCTTCAGGTGTCTCTCTCTCTGCCATCTCTTCAGTGCCCTGAAGTATAGCACACACCACACATAGTGCTTATTTGCAAAAAGAGGACCCTCCAAGGAACTGGTCTGTGCAGTACTTGTTTCTGCTTGAAGGCAAAGTGAGAGTCTAAATAGATGTAGAAAGCTAGAAATCATAAATAGGAGACTGGAATTGCAGTGCTTGACTTTCTGGTTTAGTAGCTGACTTGCCTATAGATGTCCAGTAGAAAGCAGTAGATTCAAGGATATAGAGACGCCTCATAGCTGGGAAGTATGTAGAGTGTGTTTTAGAGCAGACTGGGTTGGATTTGGGTGTTTGCATCATAGCTGGTCTGCATGTATGGGTTTCGGTACAGTTGATTTTAATTACTATCATAGACGTGGCATTAGAAATTCAAGCTGGTTTTATTAGTTTAAGTAATTAGGAAATTAAATACAGAACTAAATCCTTCAAGGCGTTCATTCAGACACATGAGAAAATGCTGAACAGATAGCAATGCAGAACCAGCAGAACCAGATTCAATGTTAAAATGTTGCTTGCATGTGATTTTTACTGCTAGTGAAATAGAAGTGTTTTAGTGTGAATTTGAATCTTTCATCCATATCTCATGGCAGTATCACAGAAAGGTCTGCCTTTTAACTTTCTGGGTGGGTATGATTACATGTATAGAATGTAATTAAAAGTGAAGTAAATGTTGACCAGATGCAAACATGTTTATTTTTCTTTTAGCCAGCTGGGAACAGCCTATGTTTCTGCTACCACAGGTGCTGTTGCAACAGCCTTAGGACTTAATGCACTAACAAAGGTATTGCTGATATTTTTTTTCTGCCATTTGTAACTAAACTTTGGTGTTTAATGCGATGCTAATAGCTCATTTCTCCTTCTGTGTATCTGTGGCATGTTGTGTGCAGCACCCAGAATGGAGCTGTAATGGCCTTTGATAGCTCCCTTGAGATCCCAACCTTATTTTTGCCCCATGTAGATGCTTTTATATGTATTTCAAACAGCCTGCCCTCCTTATATGTACATCTAACAATCTTGTGTTTTGTTAATACAAACTGTATCTAATAAGGTGCCTTTTTTTGCAGTTTCTTTTTTACATGTCAGAGTATATAATAGCATTTGAAAGTTAATTGCAGTGAATGTGTAGTTACAACAATGTGAGCTCATTATCCCGTAAACTGTCTAGGTGTGGTTTTAAGGTACAGTATCGCTTCTGCAAACTTGGACACCTCTTCTGGACTGGCTGAAGAACTTGTAAGGAGATGCCGCTCCTAAATGCAGAAAACTCAAATTCTTTAAACAAGTGCAAAACACAAGGCAAAGAAATAGATGCTTTCCCCCAAAAAAAAAACACAAATTAAAACCAAATAGAAAAACTGTATTTTGTACCCCTCAGCTTATGCTTAAATGTAATGGTATAGCTTTAAAAAGTTATTTGAGAGGCTATTCCAAGCAGAGTAATTCATATTATACAAGACACTGCCTAGATGAATAGCCTCCATAGTCAGTGCCTCTAGATGCAAAGCAGCTGGTATGGATGCTGTGACCTTGCCAGCAGAGACAGTAAAGTTAAGGTCTGCTTACTGTTGCTCACAGTCATGCTCAGAAGCTGACACTTCTCTGCAGTGATGCTACTGAATTAAGATTGGGTTTTCTATTTTCATGCCACTGGTACCTCTGAGAGAAGTGTTTATGACTTGTTTGTTGTTTTACCTCTGCCCCACTAATGAGTTTTCACAGCGTTTTAATTTAAAGGAAACAGGTCTGGTCTGTCATTAGCACATGAAGCATTTTAATATGACCTTGGGAAATAAAATTATTATATAAATTTATTTTCTTCTTTTTAATTTCCTTTTCCCTCCCTCTCTGTGTGTTTTGCAGCATGTCTCACCTCTTATAGGACGGTTTGTTCCATTTGCTGCTGTTGCTGCTGCTAACTGCATTAATATTCCACTAATGAGGCAAAGGTTTGAAAAAGAACTAAGATCACTCATTCTATATGTTACTGAGTTTTTAGAAGAGCAAGTTACTAAGTAAAAAGCACATTATATATCTTTAGCTTGTTTCAGAACCTAGCTAAAACCATATGCATGAGCTTGTTTTGATTAATTCATTATGACGGGCATAAAATAGAACATCCTTATTCTCTTCAGATAAATATCCATAGAGATCTTCAGTCTTACATCTCAGAAACCAATTACCAGCCCTTTAAAGGGGAAAAACAAATGAAAAGCACCATCTTATAAACACAAGGTTATGGGCAGAAAAGGGAATATATAAAGTATGTATTTACAATGAAGTTCAATCCATGGTAGCATTTATCTTTTACAAAAGGTGAGGAGTAGAGTAAAGGGAGTATATCTCAGTATATCTGCCCTTCTGTCTGCTTCTCACTCCCCTGAATGAGTTTAACAGCTAACCTTGCACTTGTGGATAAGATGTAGTAGACAATAATGCAGATACAGAAATGTAGTTTGGTTTGTGCATCCATTTATGCTTTCAATTATGTTCTTAGTGGTTGAAATGAAACCTCAGCCTAGAATGTCAGAGGGGAGCCTTCACAAAGACTTCTGGTTTAGTTCTAATCTTCCTGTATTCCCTGTTTTGTCTGCTGGAAAGGACAGAGTAATTCCAGAGCAGTCCAGAAAATCCCACATTTCTGAATTGCTTTTTGAAGGAACCTCTCTGTTCTGTGAAATACAGAAATAACACATCTATTATCTCTTTTCTTCCCCTCAGAGTGCTGAAGCAGCAGATTGGTGTTACAAATATTCAGTTGTTTGCTTTTGAGCATATTTTCCCCCAGATCTTTCTCTGCCTTTTGAAATTTTTGTGCCAAAGTGTTACAAACAGGTTAACATGGAAAATAAAATACAAACTGTAATTCTTAGAAACAACAGTTTTAAGGGAACAGAGATAAGGTGACAAAAAGGAGAGTAAATGCATGTCTGTCATTGCTTTATTTTATTCCTTATTCAACAGAGAAATCAAGTGTGGAATCCCTGTCATGGATGAGAATGGAAACAGACTGGGTGACTCATCAAAAGCAGCTCAGCAGGCAATTGCCCAGGTGGTTATATCAAGGATTCTTATGGCTGCTCCTGGCATGGGTAAGAATAACTGCAGTAACGTGCAGCTCCTGATTGTCAGTTCCTAATGTGAGAGAGATTAAAGTCTATACAAGTGATTTTTCTTAGAGGTTGAATTATCATACAGTAATGCAGCCAGTGTTTACTTTTCCATTAAGAAGTTCCACAGAGAAGTAGACATTTCTTGCTGTGAATATATCCACTGTGTGTTGCACTGAAGGGCAGCAGAAAAGCTCCTGCAATGCTTTTGCAGAAAAGACACAGCAAAGGAATGGCAACAAATTCCACTGGGGCAGAATTAGTTTAGTGAAGAGTAGGTGCTTTGCCCAGTGCCAAATTGCTGAGCTCAGGTTTAGTTATATGTGAAATTAGGAGGTTTGCTTAATGGGAGAATTTACCTCTGTAAATACCAATCCAGTATCTTGAATTGGCAATGTGAAATGAAAGCTCAGTTAATGACAGAAGACTGTGAATACTATATTAATCTTAATAGAAAATTAAAGTGTCTTTTTCCCCTAGGTTGATGTTTCTTTTTTTCCTTATTTGCAGCAATTCCTCCTTTCATAATGAATACATTGGAAAAGAAAGCCTTTTTAAAGGTTAGTCTTAGATAATCTATGTATATGTATTTCCTATCCTAATATTGTCATGAATTTAAAATACTTTCTGAGCCTTCATATGTGCCACCCAAACACTCTGGAAGGACACCATTTGTAGAGTGTGAGTAGAGCTTGTGCTTTACAGCTGTTGCTTTCTTTGTGCCTTTCTTAGACAGAGATAGCCTGGTTCTTTTCATCACAGTGTAAAATGACATTAAAGAAAATATGAAGTTGTTATTTTTATAATTGTTCTTAAAAATGTAGAGTTCCTCCTAGTAAATGAATCTTCCTTCTTCTGAGACTTGGAATAGAGTTTATTAGAAAAACATTGAAAATGTTGATGTTTTTTCCTCAACATAGCAATAAAGAGGTTTTGCTTAGCTGCTATAGTAGCAATTTGACTTTGGAAACCACAATGATGGTAAAAACCTCTTTTGAAAATGATCCTTTAAAATTTACAGGATGAGCAAGTGCAAGGTAGACATAGAACGGGCATGCTTCATCAAAGATTACTTATTTCTTATATTCTGTTTATGTTAATACAGTATGATGTCAAACATCTGGTCTTAGTAAATATATAAACTAAATCAACATCGTGCACTGTGTATGCATGAGAGGCTAAAGAAGAATAATGACATTAGTTATAGGGTTGTCTAACACAAGAGAAATAATGTTCAGATGAGGAACTCTGTAATCCTTTACCAGTAAAGGGAGTTTCATCTTCACCAGCAGATATCCCTGATTTACTTACTGCATAGCTCCAGGCAAAGTCTCTGCCTGTGAAACCCACCCAGCAAGCTGGGAACAGTAGCCCAAAACAATATCTCCTTCCTGTTAGGAGAGCGTGGTCTGAGCTTCCAGACCCTCCCCTTGAAAAGTGGTTTGGGTGGGGACTGGCAGGACAAGCAGGGGCAGTTGTCTGGGTTTTTTTGCCTAAGATAAAAATTTCTAAAATATTTAAATTATATTTCTTACTATTTCTGCCTTTCATTTTTCTTGTGCGGTTAGATTACCCAGTTACATGCACCATGTGAAACTGGGAAGAAGTCACAAGTGTATTCCAAATGTGAAACCATATTTTTCCTGAAAGTTCTTTTCTTCCCACTCCCCTTGCTAACACAAAACACTATTGCTCAGAATGTAAAAGCAGGAGATGTGGCATTTGAGTTCAGAGTAAATGACTGTGTGTGTGCTGCTTGTATCTCCTGAAGGAAGTAACCCTGCTGTGCATCCAAATACACCATTTCTCTGCAGCATGAAGAGCCTTGTACAGATTCGGCTAATACTTAATAGCTGATTTCTTTTGACCCCTACCATGTTTGCAGAGTAGCTTTAAGCTGCTTGAGATAGTGTTACATTTGTGAGTACATATTACCCAGAACATTAACCCTTGTTCAAATAAATAAATAAATAAATAAATTTTATGTATATTTGACATGGGAGAAATATCACAAATGCCATCAACTCAACTGGCAAATATATGACATTTGTGAAGAAGTTACAGTGATCCTCAGGGTTTGGAGACAACTGTCTGTAGTTCGTGTGTGGTATAATCAATATAAGGGTGTTGTGAATTTTTCAGATCAGCAAAAATGAGCGATTTCTTCAGTGACTACTCAGTGGTCTTTGGTACCGTCATGACCGTTTATGCTCACCTGTTCCACCCCCTCAGCCTCAAAGACTGTGAGTTCAGGTGAAAAACTGTTCTGCAGGTAGTCAGTGTAACACTTGGTAGAGATTAGTATTAAAACCATTGAGGAATGAGCTGCATTTTTAACAAGCAGCTTCTGCATGTCCTCTTGAGGTTTTGGAAGCACCATCCCATTTGCAGTCCTCCAACACCACACAATGCTTTACTAACTCATTATTCTTAGCCTTTGCTTTTGCACACCATCACTCTTGAAAATAATTCTTGTATGCTTGCCAAAGCCTATTAAGCAATGCATAAGGCCAGAAAACAGGCAAATGGTTTGTGAAATAATGGAGAAAATGAAATGAAGTTCTGCAGTAAATCAGAAAAGCTTCTGGAATGCTGATGTCTGTGATAGCAGGCTATCATTCTCTGATATTTGAAATAAAATGAAGATTATGCAGCACTATTCATCCCCCATATTCCAACATTGTTTCTCATGAGAATGTTTTGATGGTGACATTAGTATAAATTAACAATAATCCCAAAAGTTACTGCTAGAAAACGATTCAAAAATGTTTTTAGAACACAAGCACATACTTACTGCTTCAAAAAGAATCTAATTATTGCTTTACTTGAAAAAATATTTTTTAATATGTGTGCTTTTGCTATAGGTTTCAGCAGTGGCTTTGGCTGCCTTCTAGGTGATTATTGAGTAGTAGTTCTTGAGTGGGCTGAATAATGTCTGTGTTCATTATCCCATTACACTTGACTAGCTCTGCACAGAACCAAGTCATTTTATCTGCTACAGCAGGAAGATCCATAAACAACCTTCCTCTGAGGCACAGTGTTTGTAGATTTAGTTTAGTTACAGGTAACCTTTCTCCTAAGAAAATAAATTCATTTTTTCCATAGAAACTTCTGGAAATTCCAACTGACACTGAAGTTTCAGTTTATATTACTGCTCCTACAGCTTCAGCTACTGTTTCTCATGGCCGCTGTACTGTATTAATATCAAAGTTTGTTACACAAATTTCCTCATATATCCCTAAAATAAGCTCCTTGGGGTCTCTTAGTTTGAAACTAAAATACGTATTCAAAACTGTTACAAAACTAGAACAGAGAGCTTTTTGGTTGAGTTTGGGTTTGGTTTTTTTTAAGGATCATTCATGAATGTCTTATGCCTTAGGGTCCTCCATACATTCTTAATTTAACTACCATTTCAGTTATTCTTTTTCTTTTGAAAACAGGGCTAGCCTTGGAAAGCTGACAGATTTTGAAATCCAACAGTGAAAGGAAGCAGTGAGAAAAAAAGCTGATTCTCTTTATGGCTTTTGTTTGCTTAATTATCATTTCTCCATTTTCTCTGTTCACGCTAACCCTTGAAGATGCCATAAAGACATCTGGAAATTAAATTCTAATTCATCAGGAGCTGCCTTCTTCTGGAGTTAAGTTATAGTTCTCTAACACAGTAAATTCTTCTGCCATCTTGTACTTCTCCGTTTTATCTCTTTGTAGGGATGTACAGCTTGCATTTGAGTTTTGCTTTATTGTTTTACATTGTTCCCTGGGCAGCTCAATTCTTAAGATTGACCTCTCAGTTTTATCTTGCCATCTTTCTTGATGAGCACAGGCTGGTAGCATTCTTGAAAAATAAAGGCTGTAACTCAGATGAAGTACCTTGGCAAAAATGTTCCAGCACATGAAATAGATGTCGTTCATATTGCCTGTGCTAGCAGACATCTCTCTCAGATCAGTGACCAACTCTGACAGAGGTATTAAACCATCTATTACTTTCATGACACCCTCCAACAACCTTTTTAGTTACGAAATTATATTTGGGATCTTCTGTTATGTATCTCAGCTCCCACTGCAATGCGTAGCATCCCTTTCCCTTAATCCTCCTCAGAGACTGAAGTCGTTCACAGTAGTTTGACTTGTGTTCCCGAATACGTGCAATTTACCAATGCCACGGTCCGACGTCTCTTCCACTGTCAGTCACACCATCTCTTGTTATGAACTCTCCCCGTGTATAAAACGTAGAGCATGAGTGAATTTATCTCTCAGCTGACAGCCAAATGAAGGTTTGTTTAATGGAGTGCCAGAACAGCAGAGCACTGCTGCATTCACTCTTTATCTTTTTGCTATTACTGTCTTTTTTCCGTTTCTTATCTATTGTTACAGGTTATTGCTGAATTGCACAGTTCCTTCTGCATTCATTTCTGGATTACAGCTTGACTCCGGGTGGGGGGTAGGAAAAAGAAGCAATCTTCTACATCATTTCTTCTCCCTCAGACTGTGGAGAAAGTTTACTCTTCACAGGCTTGTTTTCCATGCCTCTTCTTCTGCTATGACCTTCTTTAACACCAGGCTTTGTTCCTAAATTTCTTTGTTCTATTTTTGCTCTCAGGTAGTGCCTGTTTCTTGTTCACCAGTTTCCCCTCTAACTTCTACATCTTGAGAAATGCTTCTTGCAGGAAAATAAACTATTTTTTGAGAACATCATCCACTGTAACGTGATTTTAACTCATTTGCTGTTTTATTTTAAAATCAGCTTCCTTGATGTGCAGTTGTGTGTGCACTACTAACCAGAGACACTGATTTTATTGCAGCAACAGACCGTTGCAGCAGTATCGTTTGAATGGGTCTGGTTTTGTTTCATTGGTAATTAACTTCCACTAAAATTCTAACATGGGGAGAATGGATTCCTAAATAGTTTAGACCTACATGAAAAATGTCCTATTTCTTGGTAGATGTTCCAAGTTCTGCAAAAGTTGCAGTAATGAGTAATATGCTAAAAATGCATCCATATGTTGCGTGTTGCTTTCTCAGCTTTATTTTTCCCAATCCTTCTACCCTTTTTCCCGTAATAAAAGGTGAACTCTTGCATAATCAGGATTGCATAATTGGGTACCAGACTTGCTACAGGGAGAAGTTCCTACGCATCAAAGTCAGAAAAAAGGGCTAAGAGAGGCAGACAAAACAGTCAACCAGCTGTCATAGTTCCAAAGGGACACTTACTCAGGATATCAGTGTACATTGGTATCACTGGGAATTTTCTTGTTACTTTTCAAAGGGATTGAACTCTCAAATTGGAGCTCAGCTTTAATATATACTGATACTTGTTTTGCCTTCGTCGTGTCTCTTAGAATATAAGAATTCCAGGATGGTGGGAGGGGAGGGGGAGAAAAGATACCCTCCTCACTTTGTGCACTTTCCTTTCAACAGAGGTATCCTTGGATGAGTGCTCCCATTCAAGTTGGATTAGTTGGATTCTGGTGAGTTCTTTGGGTTGTGTCTGCTGTCTTAAGAGATAGTTGAAGGGTTTTTTTTCAGAAGGAGTAGCAGTATTTGCTCTTTCTTTAAATAAATAAAAAAAGGCTACAGCAGTTAATGTAACTGATAACACCCTATTAAAAAAAAAAAAAGCCAATAATGAAGGATCTGGCAAGAAAAGCAGAGGGAGGGAGAAAGAAAGGGAGTGGCAAAAGGCATGGAGCAGCTTGCTGGAATCTAATCCTGTAGGTTGTTGAATTCTTGAAACATTTGATTAATGGAGAGGTGCAGCTGCTGTTCTGCTGTTGTCTAATGTTTTATGTTGTCATGGACACCAATGTGAAACACTGGAAGAACATAAAATGATAATTTTATACACATTTGTAAGCATGGTATTGATGCATTTAGTACTACATAGTAGATAAAAGATTTCATAAGGTATAATGCAGCAAGAGACAAAGGTCACAAAGCACTTACTTCGTGGAACTTTAAGCTCACTGTATACAAAAAAAGAGCTTTCTGCCTTAAGACCATGCCTAAAGAGTCTGAATTTTCATTTAGTACCCTAACTATTGCAAACCCATTTTTGTCTCCTTTAGTCTTGTGTTTGCCACACCCCTGTGTTGTGCACTGTTTCCTCAAAAAAGGTATGTATTCCCGTTACATCATTCTTAATGTTACACTCCCAGCTGCATGCAAGGTATTGCAAAAACACAAACGCATCATTGCCTCCTAGAGCATACAGTTAATTCCCATAAAACAAGTGTGATAAACATGAGAATATATAGAAAAATAACTATGTTACACATCAATAATATATAACAGTAGAATTGGGCTTACTTGTTTACAGACTCTTAGCAGCTCGAGATACAGGTACATAGGGACAGCAAACAAGAGGTTTGGGTGCATAGTTTAACCATGTGTTCTCATGCCAGGATGTTTGAGCTTGGTAATACAGAGTTAAGAATCACTAGAATGATTCATAAAAAAGGCTAATGTGGTCTAAATAATATATTGACATCCAGTAAGGTTATACTTTGATTAAACAGTCCCATCTTAGTTTCAGCTGGAAACACTGGCCTATACACAGAACAGCATTTAGCTATATGTGCTTATTTGCAATTTATTTATATTTTTCTAGAAAGAATTTTCCATTAATACACAAATAGCTCAGTACTGAAAACTATCTTAGAAGCAAAATAGCTGACATCAGACTGAAACCTGGATGGGTTACTTGCAAACATTAAGTTCGCACAATATGCAGTATGTAATATAAAGAGGGTCTTAAATTCAATTAAGCTGTCCCTCATATTTTAGTGGTTGTCTAAACAGTGCAAGCTGGAGCTAAATCTATTAAAATATTGATCAAATAAAGTAGCTTTTAACTTCCAGAAAACAATACCCAGTTCTCATCTGATGCAATTATTGGAGTACAGCAAAGCAGTCTGAAATCATCTGCTTCCATACGTGGCAGAGTAGAGAATGGTGGTAAGCAGCACTAAGCTACCTGGAGATGACTTAACAAACTAGCACAGCAAGTGTGGTACAGTTCTTGATTTTAACCAGGGCTATGCATTTCACAAGATTGGACCTGAAACTATAATGCAGCTAATTGAATGACCTGGCAGATTAAATTCACTTTAAGGTTTGTAAGAGTCATAAAAGTGACTAAAGTCAGGCAGTGAGTTAAATAGGCAAATACATTATATTTAATAAAAACACCTTTAAAAAGTTAAGTTTGTATTGCCAGAAACAACTGCAAGCAACTAAGTCGGTTCCTAGCCAACAGCCATTTCTTGACTCTGTTGACTGTCCTGCTGCCTTTTAAGCAGGGATTTGTTTGCCCCTGCACTGTGAGCACAATTCCTTCATGAGAAGTTAAAGAGCTGAAAACTCTTTTCACACTCCAGGAAGCTTAACCAGATATGTCTTCCATCTTACTTTACATTCAAGTGTTTGTTATATGTAACTATTTCACTGTTTCTTTTGCTTAGTTCTATGTCTGTAACACGCTTGGAGCCAGAATTGGAAGCCAAGATCCGAAAGAACAGCCCTGAAGTAGAACGTGTATACTTTAATAAAGGATTATAATTCAAGGAAGGGAAAGTATCTTTCAAGGAGGATCTTGTGACCTTATTTTTGAACTATGTGCCAACGTAGTTGAAGATAAGAGCTCAGTTCAGCTTGTCCTTTTGTTAAACAACTTCGATCATCTCCATTATTTTATATTTCAAGACTTTCTTCGCTGTAGTGTTTAAAATACAAAAGGTCATTTTGTCCACTTTGGTATCAATTAAAAGTTTAACCATACATATCCAAAAATGTTTATATAAGCTCTCAAGCAGCTACAACAACAAACAAACACACAAAAATACATGCTATTATATTGGATTTGCCACCTATTCCAGTAATAGTAGGGCAGGGGTTTCTCCATAAAAAGTCATAGAGCAACTGAACGAAGTTGCCACCCTCTGCCAGCAGCAGGACGGGGAGCTGAACGTGACAGGAGGTTGTGCAGGAAGGGCTTTTTACCAGGAGGTTGATTAGGTTGTAGGTTTTCCCGGTTGGCACAGAACCGTTTCTTTAAGGCAGATGTTGGAGGAGCCTGGAGCTTCTGTACAGTGTGGTACTGTTCTGCAATACAAGCTGCTTTCTTCCGTAGGTCTAGTTTTACCAGCATCATGTTGTTCTGCAGTTCTGCCAGTGTTTGGTCCTGAGAAAGGGGAGGCAACAGATATGTATGTAGACATGACAAGTTGTCTAACTTCCTGGTTACTGTGAACTGAAGATAAAAATCTGCCTTTGCCAAAATTCATTAACTGGTGAGCTGAATAAGGCCATGTATAAAAGCTTCTACTGTCAACAGTGTAGCAGTTCAATAACAAAATAGAAACGGTAAGGATAGGAAAAAGCTGAATCCATCCTTCTGCAAACATGCTGCCATAGGAACTGTGATAGAGTGAATTGGATAAGGAAGTGAGAACTCTGAATTCTCCTGCTTTAGGTGTAGGCTGTCAGCTGAATATTAACAGTTTGGGTCTTTTCTGGAGAGTTAGATGTGCAGTCTGACTCAGACATTGGAAAAAAATCAGCAGTATACATCCCTTAGTGTAATAGTATGTATCTAGAGAATGTCATTTTTATTTGCAGCTTCAAGAACCTAGGTTATTCTGCTGATTATGGCAAAGCACATAGAGGAAATCCCCCTGTACAGCCACAACAAAACAGAAACGTTACCTGTCTAGCCAGAATATCATCACATGTAAAGAGCACTTCTCGAAGTTTCCCTGCACTTGTGCTGTGGCAGCACGCTCTTTCTGCAGACTGAAGAGATTCCCCAAGTTTCTGTAATTCTGAACGCAGCAATCTGACATTCTACAGGAAAAAAGGTTCAACATGAGATCTAGCTTTGACATTGCTGTGCAAGCAAAGCCACCCCAGGGTAATTCAGACATGCAGGACCTGAGGAAGGATCCCATTTGAGGGAGATACACTGGGATCCCACATTACAGAGCCTTCTGCATCTCTAGTAAAGGTTTTCATACCCATTACATTTTCAACCATTTGCTTAAAAATCTGGAAACAGCAGCTCCAAACACTCTTAAACTGGCAACTACCTTGCCCTGCAAGTGTTCCTTTCTGTAACAGAGATGGAGTTACCTTCTGTCCATCCTCCAGCTTCCTGTCTACATCCACAGTAATGGGTCTGGCAGAGGGAGGTGGCTCCAGCAATTTCTGGTACTTGCGCAACTCTAGGAACAGACAAAAAGCAATGAGCAACAGTACGATCATAAGCTTTCAGTTTTTCTGAAGATTCCCCTTGAGATAAGCTGCCACAGGCAAGCTGAGAAAAGCTTTGTGCAGACATGCACAAGTGTTCCAGACTTCTCCCTATCAGTTATGCAGAGGAACTTCAGAATTTGAACTGGGATATGATCCTGCCCTAAAGTCCATTTTCACATGAAAATGCAGTGAAACCCAGAATAGTGGTTTCAGGATGTCTGAATCAAGTGTGCTTGCTGATAAAATGTATCTCTAACCCTTTATAAGGGCTGCTCTGGTGTAGTTAAGGACCAGTGTAGCATCATCACTGCCTTACCTGCTGTTGCAGTATTTAACTCTGTTTGACATTGCTCTAGCTTCGCTTTAGTATCTTCCAGCTCGTGTTGCAGAGCACATGAGGTAGCTGCCACTCTCTTTGATCGGCGCAAGCCTTGTCCCAGGTCCTTTTGCTTAGTATCCAGGCTGTCCAATTTTTGTTTTGCTTCCTGCAGAGCAGCTTGAAGCTCCTCGATCTTCTCATCACGCTCCTTGGAAAGCAAGTTTGTTCAAATAGTCAAGATGATCTTAACACAGCTTTCCTGAAACTTTCAGTGTCTTTTCTTCCAGGAGACTTTCACAATCAGACACTTTACACACTGGACCCAGCCTTAGTGCCCTTTCAGTGAAAAGTGTGAACCCATTTTCTGGGAGCCTAATCCACTTTTTTTGCAGCCTCTAGAGATGAGTAACTTTCAGATTAAGGGTTGAAAATCAGAAAACCTAGTCACCTACATAAAGCAGTGGACAAGAAGCAAGAATTGTGGCTCAAGCTATCCAATAATATCACAAAAAGCAAAATGTTTGTTTGCTTAAGTCACCTTCATGGATTCAAGTACCCCAAGCTCCTCCCAACCCAGTGCCATTTTCCTGATATCATTTCATTGCCCTAAACACACCTGGATCATCTCCTGGTAATAGTCAGTGAGTGATTCCTTCAGGTTATTCAGTTTATCCTCATACAGTTCCTCCAGCAGCTCCTTCTGAGTATCCAAATGTTGGCTACAAAGAGCAAACAACTACATGTCAGGGGCTGGCAGTTCTTGGTAGCATAGATCACCCTTAACAAAGGGAGGGAGATCAACATAAGCTGTACCTGCACCACTGCTCCTTCTGCCGCATGTGCTCCAGCATCTCATTGCAGATCTCCTCACGGAGACGCATTTCTAGTTGCAGCTTCTCCTGCCGCTCTTGCACCAGCAGCTCTCGTGCAGCTTCCACTACACGCAGCAAGTCCTGCAAAAAGGGCACAGACCCCATTGCCCACACTGCACAACAGAATTGAACCTTAAATTAGGTAATCCCGTATCTGTAGGATAAGGTGACCTAGGTTTAAGATCCTTTAAAGCTGTTCTTGATCCTCTGTCCATGAAGGCTGTAAAAAAAAAAAAAAAAAAGAAAAAACAAAAAACACAGCCCACCTCCTTCTCATACACGGAGACATCCGCTTCATCCTCACTGTCATCTTCTGATTCCACTTCATCCTTTGCCACTGCCTCTGCACCTTGGCTGGTTCGCCTGTTGTGCTCTTTAATGATTGATTGGATGGATGGAAGTTCCAGCTTTGTGGGTGGTACCTGAACAAGCTGAAGGGGAAAAGGGCATTATTACTAATCCACAAAAGAAGCTGCACAGCCTTTAAGCACAGCACTTGTCTGCAGCCTGTCAACTCTTTCAGTTTAGCAGAATCTGGAAGTACTGTAAAGGCAATAATCCACTGGAAAAGCATAGGGAAGATTTGCAAGCCATCCCCATCTTGTGATGGAAAAGGGCTCACTCTCAAAGAAGCAAGATGTATCCTGACCATACCGTGATCCTGGTCTGTGCTGCTTACCTGGCTAGCAATGGCCGAGAACTTGGCTACATGCAGAGTTTCATCATATGTAGATGCACACTGGTTAATGTTGACAATCATGCAAGAGCGCCCACGTCCAGTGAAGAAACCCTGGAACACACGGGTTAGCTTGCTGTCCCTGAAGGGAACCATGGTCTGCTTCAATCTGTGGGGAGAAACAAGAGTGAGCCCATAGAAAAGAACAGCTTCCCTACATCCTCCCTCTGGAATTTTGGATACTCACTTGGACTGCTGGTTCTGGCGGAGGGCAGCAATGCAGCGACCCAGCGTGTGGAGAGAGGTATTGATGTTGTTTGCTTCTTTCATTCGGTCCCCATTTTTCTGGTCTTTGCAGCGCTCTGACCCCGCAAGGTCACACAGGGATAACCTGAAGAGGGCACAGGGGATGTTCACATGAACTACTGGGTTTGTCCTGTTCTATCAAGGTGTAGAATTCAGACATCCTGCAATCCCCTACACCTTGCTCACCTTCCCAGCTTCCCCAGAAGGGAAGTACTTTTAGTGTGTAGTGCTATTGCTGGACAAAAAGGCCTACTCTAGGGGTTACAAAAGGTTAAACCAGCATGAGCTTGCAGTGTCAACTTCGAAGGTCCTTTGCCAGTCCTCAGGACAGCCACTTCCCAGGTACTAAGACAACTACATCCCAGGAAAAGGCATTGGTAACACTCAGATCAGCCCTGCTGCAGGTGCAGTGTTACATTTACCTTCATTCAAAGAGCTTAGGAACTACCTCAAGTTGTACTCTGCAGTACTCCTCACAAAATTCTTAGTCAGTTCCAAGAAGAGTGGGAACATTTACTCCAATACTTTAAACAAGTCCTTCCTCCAGATATTTCCCATACCCCATATCCATGGCAAAAGGCAGGAAGTTGAGTCCACAGAGAACACCTTCAAATCCTAGCGCATAAAACTTACTCGCTGATTTTTGGAACAGTTTCGCTGCCACCTCTTTGCAAGTGCAGAATCCGAATGGAGAACACACTGTGACTGTGAAGAGACAGGCAGATATTTTAAAAAGGAAACGCAACCTTCCTCAAACAAATTCTGAGAAGCCCTTCAGAACTGTATTTCTGCCTAAACCTCCCTCCCCCTTCAGACCTTCGACTGGAGTTCTGGTTCATGAGGGTGCTGGCAAAACTCTGGTTTTTCCGACCCAGTTTCAGGAGCTTCCAGGCCTCATCAGCATCCCGGACATTGATCCAGTTCAGATCTGGAAAAGGAGGCACACATTGGGCAAGGCAGTCAGGAGACTATTAGCCCCAGCTTCACCACTGCATTTCCTTGCCATTAGCAAACTTAACATTCCTATAAATCAGAGACCTCTGAGGGGCAGCCATAGAGGGCATCCCCAACACATCACACTGCTGAGCCACACACCTACCCAGTCCGTCAAGTCTCCCTAGGAAGCCAGTAATAAATATCCTTTGGGTAAATCTACCTTTC